CTTCCGTGTTCGGGGATGTGCGGCTGGGTCACTTCCGGTCTATTGAAAATGTTGTTTTATTCAAGGTGTTTGCAGAGCTTGCCCAAGCTGACGATTAACGATGTTCATCGCATTGACTAGATTAGATAAACTTGATTAGATTAGCCTAGACTATTACACTAAGTATGTGATCATATCAACTCTTTTAGAGCCAAATAAAATGCACTTGCAAGCTGTCTGACAGCCTTTTCAAACTTTTGATATGTATAAAGCTGACCGAACAATGCAGCTTGTTCTCCCTGCAGAATTCTATTTTCAGTGGTTGTTTATGGGGAAACGTTTGAGTCATGCTTCCAAATGATAAAGAGCTGGTTGTGTTTTCCTCCAGGTTCTGGTCTCTTTCTGTTTCGTTCATCCCTCCATCTCTCTGACTCTTCAGTTGCTCTTCTTTGGTGTTTTCTCCCCCTTGGCTGGACACTTTGTCCTTATGCTCTCTGTCTCCTTCTCCTCATGCCAGTCCTCCTCCTCCTCCAGTCTGCCTGCACCCAGTGTGAGTGATAAATTATTCGTGGGCATGCTCTAAGGGCCCAGGGCTGCTCATTCCTGCACACAGAGGACTTGCATTGATCCAGCCTCTGGTTCAACTTAATTGGAAACCCAGTTACAGCAGCTACAGACACACTCTCACACACAAACACAGGGCGCGCACACACACATGCAAACATCCACGTCTATGTTTGGCAAAATGGTATAAACACACACACATGGCGTAAGACACTATTGTGCAGTAATATAGCACTACAAATACTAGGCGCATGGTTATTACAAATGTCAACATAATTACTCATCACACGGACACGTGCACAACCTCCATATTTATTTATTTATTCAAGTGCAGCAGAATTAACAACAACGGTAAATATTTTTGACAGATAATGAACACACTTGCAAATGCACACACAAATTAATGCAAACACTAAAATTTGAAGGATAAGAACAAGTGGACTGATGGAATGAGTGTGTGCGTGCATATCCTCACACACACACTCATTGTATAATCACAATCTGCATTCTCAGCAGTGCTAAAGTGGAGTAACAGTCCACAGTGGAGCAATATATAGGCCCAGGTTTATCGATCTGACTGAGACACTGACTATCATAGAGCTAATAGATTACATCAGACACATCGAAGTGGCCCAGTCAATGAGGCCTGATCCTATTAACTGGGGATTTGTAAACAGTTGTGTGCTCACTGTGACGGCTGCTGTACTGCTTTGTGAGCCTTATCGAGGGGACGATGGCTGTGAAGGTCTGCAGGATGCTCGTATGTTCGTACGTTCAGGTTGCAGACCAGTGGAACCAGTGCACACAGATTGTGGGAGCCTTCTATTCAACTCTGTTAGCGCTCCACTAAATGCTTTGATTGGATGAAGTATGCTCTTCTTCTCCAGTTTCATGGGTCTGGGCATCAAAAAGTTGAGTGTTTTGATCGTTGTGGCTGTCCTTAGTGCAGTTTTCATTTTTGTTAACCCTTGATCATTTGATCATGTCATTGATTGCTTGTTCCTAGCTTGTTTATTGGTCATTATTTTGACTTTATTGTTTCTAGACTGTTGCTCATGACAATATTCTGTCGGTAAGACGATGTTCAACACTTCTGGGTTAGAGTTTTAGTCAAGGGGCCAATAAAACATACTAGTTACAGTAAGTATGTCTTTACAATGTCACAAATTCAAACACCAATCAAAAGAACCAAGCAGAACTATGCAGAAATTGCCAGTAGTTAATAGTAAGAATGCTTATTAAGCATATACAATATTGTTTTCCAGTTTTTCTTTAATATTGTCTCATTGAAAACAAATAAATCTGTCATAACATCCTTCTAACCCTTTGTGCTGTTTACAGCCTTTTACTGCTCAGTTCAGCTTTTGTTCTGCTTCTGCTTTTCAGCATCTTTAACCCAATTGCAGTTTTTTAACACATTTTTTCTGCTTTTTTCCAGCTAAATTTTGTTCCTTTTAGCTTCTTTCTGCTAATATTAGCTTCCTTGTGCTTCTTCTTTTTCTTTGTTATTTTCAGACTTATTTTTCAATTCAGTTTATTTATATAGCACTAAGTCATCTCAGGGCACTGTACAGAAATATTCGTATACATAAATCCATCCATCCATCCATCCATCCATTTTCTTCCGCTTATCCGGGGTCGGGTCGCGGGGGTAGCAGCCTAAGTAGAGAGGCCCAGACTTCTCTTTCCCCAGCCACTTGGGCCAGCTCTTCCGGGGGAATCCCAAGGCGTTCCCAGGCCAGCCGAGAAATATAGTCCCTCCAGTGTGTCCTGGGTCTTCCTCTGGGCCTCCTTCCGGTGGGACGTGTCCGGAACACCTCACCAGGGAGGCGTCCAGAAGGCATCCTAAACAGATGCCCAAGCCACCTTAACTGGCTCCTCTCGACGTGGAGAAGCAGCGGCTCTACTCTGAGTCCCTCCTGGATGATCGAGCTTCTCACCCTGTCTCTAAGGGAGAGCCCTTCACTGCAGACGCTGCACCTATCCGCCTATCGATCTCACGCTCCATTTTTCCCTCATTCGTGAACAAGACCCCAAGATACTTGAACTCCTCCACTTGGGGTAGGACCTCCTCCCTGACCCGGAGAGGGCACCCTACCCTTTTCTGGCTCAAGACCATGGCCTCAGATTTGGAGGAACTGATCTTCATCCCGGCCACGTCGCATTCGGCTGCGAACCGCTCCAGCGAAAGCTGTAGACCACGATCTGATGAAGCCAATAAGGCCACATCATCTGCAAAAAGCAGAGACGCAATCCTAAGGCCACCAAAACAGATCCCCTCAACACCTTGGCTGCGCCTAGAAATTCTGTCCATAAAAGTTATGAACAGAATCGGTGACAAAGGGCAACCTTGGCGGAGTCCAACTCTCACCGGGAACAAGCCGGTGATGCAGACCAGGCTCTGACACCGGTCATACAGGGACCTAACAGCCCGTATCAAAGTGCCCGGTACCCCATACTCCCAGAGTACCCCCCACAGGGTTTCATGAGGGACGCGGTCAAACGCCTTCTCCAAGTCCACAAAGCACATGTAGACCGGTTGGGCAAACTCCCACGCACCCTCCAGGACCCTGCTGAGAGTGTAGAGCTGGTCTAGTGTTCCACGACCAGGACGAAAACCGCACTGCTCCTCCTGAATCCGAGGTTCGACTATCCGATGGACCCTCTTCTCCAGAACCCCCGAATAGACCTTACAAGGGAGGCTATACATAAAGAGTAAGTTAATAACATAATTTATCTAAGGAGAAGACTGCTTTGAATTTACCTCCATCGCAGAACTCTCATCTTGAGCAAGCATGAAGGCGACAGTGGAAAGGAAAAACTCCCTCGTGAGGAAGAAACCTTTAGCAGAACCAGGTTGAGGACAAGCGACCATCTGCTTCGACCGGCTGGGTTTGTTAGGAACAGATACACAATGGCAGGTCAAGAATCACATGATAAGATAAAAATAGTATCAAATGAAAACAATTCATTTAAGGAAATAAGGTCAATTTGTCCTCCAGTAGTCTAAGCCTATAGCAGCATAATAAGCCAAACCTAACTATAGGATTTATCAAAAAGAAAGTCTTAATCCCAGTCTTTAAACTGGACAATGTGTCAGCCTCACAGACAGAAACTGGAAGTTGGTTCCACAAGAGAAGAGGCTGATAACTGAAAGATCTTCATTCCATTCTGCTTTTGGAAACTCTAGGAACTGCAAGTAAGCCTGCAGTCTGAGAGAGAAGCTCAGCGGATGTTTTGCAGGGTTTTTTTTCCTCCCAAGTTTCGCACCCCCAACCCCCACCCATAACTGTAACCGTTTTTGTGGTCATTTGAGTTTCTTTCTGCTTGATTCAGCAAATGTGTGCTCTTACAGTTTCCTTCTGGTAATTCCAACGTTTTCAGCTACTTTTCAGCTAATTTTAGCTGTTTTGTGCTCCTTTTGGCGTCTTTCTCCTAACCTCAGTTTGTCAATTAATTTATCTACTACTTTCCTGCTCATATCAGCTTCTTGAGCTCCATTTGGTTTCTTACAGCTTCAATTCAGTCATTTTTAGACAAATTGAGCTAAAATTTGGTCTGGTAGCCAAGAATGATCCAATGAACCATATACCAGTAGTATGCATGTATGTTTTTATGCAGTGTTTTCTTGAAAATAAGGTTTTAATTTCCTTAATTTTTTCAGTCATTGCTGTTTAATTATTTTACAACTGGCTTATTAATACTTATTTTGTTTGTTTGTTTGTTGGTTGGTCACTTTGTCTTTATATATTTTTTGTTTTGATCTGGTATAACACATTTTATTATAACACATTTTATTTTACTAACCTCTGTATAAAAGGAGTATTATTAATATATTTGTTTTTAATTTAGTTAAACTGTGTGCCAAAGACACATCTTCTGCATTAAAAACACTTAAAGCACTGATTCATCGCTAAATCCATTCGTTTTTACACAAATCTAAATGCACCGTTTGTAAAACAGTTGACTTCTCCGTCCATCTGAAGTCCAATCCATCATTAGGAACACTTCTGTTCAACCAGCACCACAGTTAATGCTGGTTGTGGATTTTTCTGTTTAATCTTCTGGTCTAAACCTTTTCACGTGTTCCTTCAGGGGGCTGTGCAGCAACGAGAAGTAAAATCTGAGAAAGGGGGAGTAGCAGTGTTCTCAGCCAGCAGTGAGCTTTTCAGAGCAAAATGACTTTTCCAAAATAAATAGATCTGTGTCACAGACTGCCAGGAGAGAGAAAAGTCCTCGGTTCAATAATTAATTCCTGAGTCGAGGGTTTTGGAGTGCCACTGATTGGGCTGATATTTTTTAATTCTGTTATGATACAAAGGAGGCCGTTTGAAGTAATTTGTCCCAGAGAGAGCGGCTTGGAATACCATACATGCTTTGATTTAGCAAAGCAAATTTAATTTTGTTTGCTTTATGCAAACCAGCCGGGGCCATGGGGCTTTCTCTGATTCCACCAGAGGGGTGATGTGGTGGTGCTGATGATAGAGGTGGGGGAGTGCACACAACAGAAGCACACTGCTGCCGCTAATATGTAACGCAGAACGTGCACTCGCACACACACAAACACGTGCAGTGAGCAGCAACGGTTCAAAAGTACAAAGCTCGTTCCCCACATGCACACACTCGCAGTCCAATTCCTTTGAAATCAAAGCTTTAAATAATTGTTTGTGCATTGTGTTTTGTTTTCTTACATCCTTCTAATTTTAGTGTTTCCGGTGTTATTCCCATCAAGTTGTTCTAGCTGCCTCTTCTTGGTGCTTGCCATGGTTTTGTTTAGTACTACTAATGAAAGTTACTCTCCTCCAAAAAATTTTTCCACCAATATGTGAGTGGAATACATCAGAATAAATCTGTGCCTGATAGTTCATGAGACGTCCAACACCCGGCAGCTGAATAATGAAGAGGCTACTTGGTTTCTTTTTCCTCTGTGTGCAACTTTTCTTCACATCTAAGTGGAACTTTTGACATAGGCTAACGTTACGAAAATATAAATACAGAAGAAGCTGACTACATGCATTATGATGATGTCATTGATGATGGTGGAAATAAATCCTTACCATGTAGTACACTTTTAAACACCTTTTTTAAATTATTATTTATTTATTTGGATCCCATTGCCGTAACAATGGCTACTCTTCCTGGGGTCCACGTCATAAAAAAACATTTATTACAAAGACAGTTACACACACTTAATATAACATTTGTAACAGCCTTCCATCCATCCATTATCTTTTACCTGCTTCTTCCATTTTGGGTCATGGAGTTCGCTGGTGCCCATGTCCAGCGGTCGCTGTGCGAGGAGCAGGCTACACCTTGGACAGGTCTCCAGTCCATCACAGGGCCACGTAGAGACAAACGAGACAAACAACCATTCACTCTCTCACTCACACCTAGGGACACCTTAGAGTTACCAATCAGCCTAACATGCATGTTTTTGGTCTGTGGGAGGAAACTGGAGTACCCCGAGAAAACCCACGCATGCACGGAGAGAACATGCAAACTCCACCTAGAAAGGCCCCTGGACCGGGATTTGAACCAGGGACCTGCTCACTGAGAGGCAGCAGCTCTACCAGTTGCGCCACCGCACTGGCCCATTTGTAACATATGATAATTAATTCATAAATGTACAATTATATCCCTTTATATGATAAAATAATTTAGCAGGGCTCTTTTAAAAGCTCTAACAGTTGTTACATTTAACACAGATGAAGGAAGAGAGTTCCATGTTTTCATTCTTCCAAAAATATCAGTATTTTATCCAGCGTTCCTGTCGCATGGTGGGACAATAAAACAACCTTTTAAAGCATGCCTTGTAATATAATTGTGTAAAGTTTGGCTAAATAAAAGTCGGTTATATAAAACATTTGGTATCTTAGATACCACAATTTTTCTAAAAAAAAAGCATAAAATGGCAAATTCAACCTTAGGCCAAACCAAAGGCCAACTTAATACTTTGTGCATACTGATAATATTTGTAGATTTGGAACAATTCAGTGCAAGACGAGCTGCTCTATTTCAGACCAATTGTAGTTTGGTTAAGTATTTTTCTCTGGACCACACCATCAGACAATACTGCAAGTTACACAAGACAACTGTGTTAATAATTTGAGGGATTAATTTTAATGGTATATAATGTATACATCTTTTTTTAACAGCTAGTTGTCTTGTCTAGTCGTCTGCTGTCCATAGTAACTCCCAGAAGTCTAATTTCTTCTACCTGAGTAATGGCTGCTCTATTTATAGACAGGTTTGGTTTTGGTTAAGTTTTTAATGTCCAATTTGATCCAGATATTATGCTTTTGGTTTTATATAAGTTTAAAACCAATTTATTTGTATGCACTCAATTTACAACTTGTTTAAATTTGCTGGCCAAGGTGCTGGACAGTGGCTCAACAGATGAATCTGACATATATTGTGGTATCATCAGCATAGATCACTGCCCTGGCATGCTGCAGAACAAAACGCTGGCCATTAGTGAAAATTGAAAAGTTTTACATGATGTTAAATATATATTGACGGTGGAAATAAATCCTTACCATGTAGTACACCTTTAACACCATTTGTGTGTGTGTCATTCTAAGAAATGGCTGTGAGATTGAAGCAGAGAGCGGTGATATTTTTTTCTCCTAATAAAAAAGCTGTTCAGATTGGGTGCCTGTGCTGTTTTACTTTACTCCATTCAAATCATTTTCTTAGGGAACAATAATAAGTGGATAAAGCAGAAAAACCCAATTTCCTTTATGCTTTTTATGCTCTGAAAGAAAAAAAAAAAACCTCGTTGACGACCCTTTGGTCTTTTGTTATAGAAAACTGAGCTAATATCCTCCAGCTCTCTGCGCAGTTTAAAGGTCTTAATTGGATTCCATTAGTATATTGCTTGACATGACACTTGAGTCTGCTCTATTAGAATTCCCCTGCCTGGGATTAAAAAGAGGACTTTCTCTACATTTAGCTCTCTGGACTCTTTTGTTAAGTATCAAATATTCTTTGTTGGATTCACAGTTTTTGACGCCATTATTAAAAATGGAGGCTTGACTAAAATATGTGCTTTTATGTATAGAGGAACTGCTTTTAAAGGCAAGGCAGTGTCTTATTGCAGCAGCTTACTGTAAGTATCAGTAAACCTTGCAGTAATACAGTGTAGACTTTTTATATGAGCTCCACTGAGCAGTCCACCAACATCCTGCTTAAATCATGACCTGTTTTATGTTTCCTGTGAATTTCTTTCCAGTGTTTTCCTTGTGGTTTTCGTTGTCGATCACAAACTAAAAGATGGACATGCTTCAACTTATTCTCTTTTATGTTTCTTAGTTCGAGGCTGACATGGAGGGATGTTCAGCATCTGATTGCCAAGACAGCAATAATTCCAAACCCTGAAGAGCCCGGCTGGATCATCAACGCTGCAGGATACCATGTGCACCATAGGTACTGTGATACGGCCACGGATGCTATTTGAAATGGTTTTGAGCACAAATATGCAGCATCACTATGCTCAAAGAAAACCTGATTTATTCATCAGTTTAATTTGTTTGTCTAGTTATTTCCTTTGAGTTAAGCTTTAATGCTATGCACATAAATTATTATTATTTGTAATCATACATATTAGCCATACCAATAAAACATCTCGTTCTGACCTTGATAGTTTGTAAAGAAAATTGCCAAAATGTGGATGATCTTTGCAGTCTTGGCTTGTTGAGTCCCATATTATAAACACAGTAAACCTCTCACTTGTGACAGTGTGGCTGTCCACAATAGTTTTAAGCAGGCAAAAAAACTTCTGTTTCTAGGCCCAGGTGGTTTATCATTGTGGTGGAGTAGTGCAGTCCTGCGTGGAACATGGGGATTGTAGTGACAGTGAATCCATGACGTCCACTGACATAGCTTTGTTGTTGGGGATTTGAATTAAGACTGGCAATGGCCTCATGCCTATGTTACGACTGCGATCATGACAAGGTCATCCCAGAACATCTGTGATATCCATAACTGCATCCTGGTCTGAGACTGTCACGTCATGGCAGGAGTATAATGCTCCTTATGGACAAAGACATGGACTGGAGTTGAGTGGGATATCTTTTTGTTCTGGCACCAAACCTTTAGCAGCAGACACTTTGAGTTTTGAACCTTACTATGCTGTTTTAAACTGACTAATGAAACTGAGTGCAGCTCACTTTGGCAATGTTAAACAATGTTTTTTAGACTATGCCACTGCTGTAAACTGAGACACTTTTAGAACAAGCCTCAGCTTTTTTTATGTTTTTTCTTGAGGGCAGGATGTGGTCAGTCTGCTGTGAGATGGTGCAGAAGCAGAGGCTCACACAAACATGTCTGTGTTGCTTCTATCTTCATGGTCATTTGGTATAGATAAAATCTTGTCTTTTTATCTTTTTAAAATCTAACTCTGAAGTCCTGTGCAATACCCAAACACGTGTTAAAGCTTATACCAAATTGTGAATTCATGTCCATTTTTACATCAGGAACATATTTCAGCCAATTGAGACGCAGGTGTGGCATAGAGAAGAAAACTTTCTGACATTCATAATGTTCTTGCTGGTCTCTGCGTGTGTATGAATAGCCACAGTTACATTATAAATGTTGTCTGTTTTGTGTAACAAAGTAACTGTTTTAAGGGACCACAGTCAAAGATGTATTTCTAATTCTGTGCTTTTTACTCTAATTCTCAAACTTTCTCTTTTTTGACAAGAGAAACAGAAAATAAAATGTGAATGAAAGCAGATTTATTCACAATATGTGCACATTATAGTACAGAAACTGGAAGCAAAACAAGATTTCAAGAACTGGTAGAATGTAAATGTGACACATTAAATCTGTTAATTCCTCCGGGACACAGTTTACGAACATTCAAAATTGTTTGGGGGAAACATATTGAAGTTCTTGCTCAATAATCCAGGTAGAAAAATCCAACAAAGTTAAGTCAGGTCCTCTGGACGATTTCTTTTTGTTGAAACATTGTGTCTTTTATCCAAAAGACTTCATCAGTCAGAGGAGCCACAACAAACTCAGTCTTATAAACAGCACCTCCACATAATGGGTCAACCAGTTTGATGGCAATAGGATGGTTTCTGGAGTTCAGCCTCTCCCCCACTGACTTGTTTGAGGCAGCCATGACCAAAGTGGTTCAAAACATCCTAATTCATGCTCAATAATCCAGGTAGATAAATCCAACAAAGTTAAGTCAGGTCCTCTGGACAGTTTATTTTTGTTGAAACGTTTCGTCTTTCATCCAGAAGACTTCTTCGGTCTGAAGCGCTGCAACAAACTCAGTCTTATAAACAGCACCTTCGCATAGTGGATCAACCAGTTTTCTGGTGACATCCAGAACTAGCTGTTCACATGTAAAAGGAGGACCATAAACTTAACAATTCATCGTTAGTGCCCTGATGGCTGCTTGCTGTTATTCACAGAGGGCTGAGTGATACTTGCAATAACAACAAAGTCCATGCTCAATAATCCAGGTATACAATCCAACATTTTTCAGTCAGGTCATCTGGACAGTTTCTTTTTCTTTTTTTTGGGCTGAAACGTTTCGCCTTCTATCCACAAGGCTTCATCAGTCAAGGAAACACACAACACAAAACTGATTCTGGAGCAAACTAGTTATGTTGGTGCTAAGATGGTCTCTTTGTTACTCCACTGCTGGCCCTCTTCCTTGTTGACAGTTGTGTCAAACTGGTTGAAAACAACAAAGTCCATGCTCAATAATCCAGGTCTACAATCCAACATTTTTAGCAATAACAGCATTGTAAGAGGGGAACAGTTAAACCAGCCACTAGGGAGCACAAGCCAGTGTATCTCTTGTGCCGGTCCCAAGCCCAGGTAAATGGTGATGGTTGTGTCAGGAAGGGCATCCAACGTAAAACCCTTGCCAAAACTATAATGCGAGTTTATCAAAGCAAAACCATACCGGATCGGTCGAGGCGTGTTAACAACGACCACCACCGGTGCTGTTGACAAACAGGGTAAGAAGGTGACAGTTGAACATGGAGGCCTCCGCCCCTGTTTAATGATGGGCAGGCTCTCGCCACAAAGATGGCCTCCTTTACTCCTCTCTCAAACCATCGTTCCTCTCTGTCCAGGATGTGAACATCTTCATCCATGAAAGAGTGACCTCTGACCTGGAGATGAGTGTAGACTGCAGAGTCCTGGCCTGATGATGTTGCTCTTCTCTGCTGGGCCATCCTTGATTGAATGACTTGATGCAGTTTTGATTTGTGTGAGATAAACTTTGAACTAGTTCTTGTAAAGTGTAAACTTGTACAAACTGCTAACAGATCTGTGTGTCCTGTCATTGCTTTAGTCCTTGTGTTTCCTCCCTAGTGTTTTTCCTCCTTGTTGCTCAGCTCCTGTCACACTTGTCTCCAATCCTAATCATCCCAGGTGTTTGTCATTTTGTCTTGTTAGCCTCCTTATAAATACAGTGTCTTTGTGTTTCCTCCTTTGTCCGAGGATTGTGCCCCCAAGAATGTCATGTTCTGTTTCTCCCATCATTTCCTCACTTCATGTAAGTTTTGCTGCCTCTTTGTTTGTGTTTGAATAAATAGACTTTATTTTTACCTGGGAGTCTCCAGTGTCTGCCTACATGAGGGTTCACCACTTTAAACAACAGCTTGTGTCGAGATCAAACATTTCATTATTTTTGGGTAAATGGGGATACATCGGAATTTTTGTTCTTTCAGCCATACTGGTGCAGTGTTTGATTTGTTGTGGTCTTCATGGGATTTTTATACTCTATTTTATCAAGAACTTAAGCTGCTATATTCATACCCATCATCTAACAACAGACTCATGCTCAGGCTGCTGTTTAATGCACCATATTAGATTACATTAGGATTGTTTAGTGTAGATGTTTAATTTTATATTTTATATTTTTGCTATTTTTGGGTGCAACTGGGACTTTGAATACATAATTTTGTTCCACCTCATGTACCACATGTGATGCAAATTACAAAATACAATAAAGAACCTTGAACTTGGTAAATTCATTTGACAGTAATAACGATATCCTATCTTGATGTAATACATGTATATGATGTAACTAGCTGTTACATCATGCTTGGTGAACTTTAGGACCTAGAAATCCAGCTAAGGTCTGGGCTTTTTCTGATTTTTAAGTATTTTTCAGCATGTGTTAAGAAGACTGTAAATCCTATACACTATTCTATATTAAAAATGCTTTGGATAAATTTAGCAATTAAGGTGACGTTTATTCCTCTTTTTGATGAATGAATCCATTTTTCTTAGCTGTGACAAATGAATAAAAGTTACATTTGCTTATCAACAATCTGTTAAACACAGTTACTACTATAATAAACATAAAGCTTATGGCACATTTTCAGAAGCAATAGCATAGTGTAAATGGTATAGAAAGCTATTATACCCCACGAGAAACATTCAAAGCCTCCTAAAGATTTTCTGAATGTGGAAAAGGTGTGAAATGTGGAATTACAGTAATTATCCCCACATGATGTCTGAATGTAGTTTCAGTTGCAATAAATTGCTCAAACCTCATTTAAGCCTGTTTAAATGACCTTGAATGTGGTTGACTACATTTTCTGGGCCATTCTAAAACCAAACTGGGAATTTTCAGGTTTAAATGAGCAGCATCAAAGGGTTTAGTCCTGGTTGGTTTTGCAACCCTTAACAGATCATTTAGTTTAGTGTCTCGTTCACAAAACAAAATATCTGTTAAATGTGTGTTGTTATCCGTGTTTCTGGAAGCTACCTTAATCTAGTTTGGGCTTCACACAGCAGTAGTCTGTAAACATCAGGGCAGAGGAAAAGTGCAGCCTGTCACTGCAGCTCTTCATTCATCGGCTTGCTGTAGCCGTTCTTTAAGGTTTCACATTACTTCCTGTTATAGTTCAAACTGATCAGGAGTTTAAAATAGTAAAACATAATAGTTGTCTTATATATACACATTTTAGTGTCTGAAATTGATATCTAAAGAATTATAAACTGGGACTCTTGATGCTATTTGATATGATGAGCATGAAGCTTTTTGCAGTCTTTCTAATCATTTAGTTTCCATATTTTTCTAAATGTTGCACTCGTGGTGACTGTTTCCAGTTTTTATAACAGCATTTATCATCGCCCAGTTTAGCTCTTGGTTCAGCATATATCCAAAAAAGTTCAATCTGGTCCTCTGGACATTAAAAAAAAACAAAAAACAAAACAAAGCAAAAAAAAAAAAAAAAAATGTAGAAACGTTTCGTCTCTCATCCGAGAGACTTCCTCAGTCTGAGCTGCTGTTTTCAGCTCAGTCTCTTAAATAGCACCTTCTCAGAGTGGATCAACCAGTTTTGCTGCTGACAACCAAAACCAGCTGATCACATGCTCAAGAAGGACCATCAGCCTAACAATGGATCATTAGCACACTGATGGCTGTTTACTATTCACAGAGGGCTGAG